TTCTGTCCATCATTGAAAGAGGTTGTGTATCGGTATTTCTATTATCATCTTGAAAGACATCTTCAACTAATATTTGATCAAACACTTGGTTGTTTGTTGAAAGACAGATGAGATCCCACAATAACCTCAATGTGATCTTGCCAACCCAATTCTTTCTTACCTCATCTATTTTATCAACAAGCCTTCCTTCTCCAACAACCCCTTGAAGAACTTCATGAAGTTCTTGGATAATGGTTGTTCTTGTTGCTGGAGATAATAATGATTGTGAAATAAAGACTAATGAATGTTCAAAAGCAATAACTGACATAATAGAGTGTGGGGGTGGTGTTGAATATTCAGGACAGACTGATAATATTGCAGACACTGATGCTTGGATGTATTGTACAAGGATTGAGTCAGATCTTCCACCAACAATACTGAGACTCATTTGATAAATTGAGTAGAGATCATTTTGGTTGAATTGTGGGAGACAAGCAACAAGAACCCTTATGTATTTTAATGGATTTTGATTAAATTTTAATTTAATTTGATTCAAAAAATCTTCTTTCATAAAATGGAAGGAATGTGTTTTTACATAATGTATTGAATGATCTATATGAAGAGTTATTGGATTATCCAAAGCAAAAGTAATGAAATAGAATGGATGGAGAAGACATGATAAAAGTAATTCTGTTTCTTCTGCTTCTAAGAGTCTTTGAATAAATGAATCTTTCAAATAATTAGAAATTGGTAATATTGATTGTAATGAAACAAGAGATTGTAAAGCTTGTTTATTTGAATTAACTGGAGGGGTTTGATTTCCCCATAATTCATCTTGAAGAATTTTAGAAAAGTCTGTATCAAATAGAATATGATTTTTTGGAATAGTTGGAATGAAATTTAAGAGAAATTTATGATGTAAATGAGTAAGAATATTATGAGATTGTTTCTTTGTGATATACAACATTAATTGACCATTATGATCTTTATTTCGTGCTGAATCTCTTAATGCAGGTAATCTTTTATCAAAGAAATGTTGTATTTTCCAAAAATTATTAATTGTTTGAATAGTGATATAACTTTTAGATGGAATTTTCTTTGATAAGAATTTAGAAAGGATATCAAATAATTCATCATAATTATGAGGTAATTCTTTTCCAAGAATATATTCTAAATATTTTCTATTTTCAAATTTTAAACAACTATAAGTTATAGCTTCAATTAATGATATTGGCATTGGTTGAAAAATATCAAATAATGATTGATAGAATAATTGTGATAATTCTTGTTTTGAAGAAAGAAGTTTTAATGTTGATTCTATTTCTTTAAATTCTTTTAATGTTGGTGTTTTTATAATTATTTCTCCACGTAATGCTTGTGCAATATCTGGTCTTATTTCTCTTAATAAATATTCTGCTTCATTAATAATTACTAAAGGTGTTGAACATCTAAATACCATTAATGCATCAGATACTGTTAAATCAATTACACGATGAACATATTCATTAGTAATAGTAGTATTAATATCAATTAATCCTTGAAGAATAGATGCAAAATATAATGGAATAACTATTTGACCTCTTAATTCTTGAAATATACCATCTCCTTTAACACTATCTAAAAGTACATCTAAACAAATTGAATAACAATGATTCAAATCTCGTATTTTAGTTAACCAATGAATAATTTTATCACTAAAAGGATTATCAGCAATTTCAAAAATGATTGAATCAATAATTTTTTGACCATTTAAACCTTTTTTACTAAGTTTCATAGCACACATTTCAATATTATGCATATCTAAATAATCATCAATATATGATGGAGTATATTTGATTAAATTAGTAAATAATTCTTTAGCAATATTAATTAATTGTAATAATGTTAAAAAATGATCATTTATTCTAATACCTCTTTTTAAAATAAAATGTATTTCTTCTAAAAATGTAGTCATTTGAGATATTTCATTATTTGTTTTTAATGATTCTATTGATAATAAATTTAATGATGGTAATAATCCAAAATGTGGAATAAAATAATGTTTACTTGATATTTTAGAATGTTTAAGAGTATCATCTTCAATTCCTTTAAGAAGTTGTTGATAAATTTCATTAAAATCATTTGGAATATAATCTTCTTCATTATCAATACCAAAAATTCCTTTAGATGGTTTATTTGGTTTTCCATATTTTAATCCAGCAACAATTAATGAAAGTGCACAACGTGTCACTACAGCTGTTTCAGTATGTTTTAATGCATTATTATCAACAAGTCTCATTACAGATGATATCATTGTTGCTGTTTGTGACCAAGTTTCTTGACTAAGTTCTGAAACTTCAAAATCTCTAACAGCATCAGCTTCAAGACATAATGAATCATATAAAGGATGTTCTGTTTTTTGATATGGTTTTAAATCATAACGTAGAATTTCTCTAATAGCAAGATGAATAGGAAGAATATGTTCATCAATAAATAATTTAAGTAATAAAAAAACTTCTTTAGTTGGTTTTAATCTTCTAAGTAATACAGCAAGTGCTGAAAAAGAAGCAGAAGAAAGTGAAATAACTGGATTATCTATTCCATCACTTCTAGCATTAATTAAAATCATTTCTTTTGCTAAAGGTTCAATTGGAAGAGAATATTTAAAAGGAATTGCATATTCAGGACGATGAACAGTTAATATAGCTCTAATAATTTCAAGTAAATAATTAAATGCTTGATTTATTAAATTTGATAAAAATATTGTTGAAGGAGTTCTACATAAATATCTAATTGAACGAACAAATGCATGTAAACCAGAAATTTGAATTGATGGTTGTAAACGATCAAAAGATTGATATAAAATATAAGGAACAAAAGAAAGAATATTTGCAAGTAAAGGAGTTTCATATTTAGAAAGAGGATTTGGAAGTCTTGGAATAGAAGTAGAATTTAAAAAATATCTATTATTTTGTGATGGGATTGAAATTTGTTTAATAATATAAGAAATAGCAATTAATTGAGAAACTCTTTGAATACCAGTTGTTGTTAATGTTGTAGTTGAATATTTAGCTAATGCAGATGGTGGAGATAAAGAATAAAGATATTGTAATGTTGGAGAGAGAATTTGTGGAGAATTTTTTGCTGTTAATTCACGAATAAGAGGATTAATATCTGATAAAAAACAATTAAATAATCTAAGAATAATTGTAGGATATGATAAAGAATTATTTGGTTTAATTAATAGAATAAGTTTATAAAGTAATTTTAAAGGAATAGAAGATAAACATTGAATAAATGTTTGTTTTACAATTGGAGGTTGAGTTGGTTCAAAATTAAGAAATAATTTTAAATAAGGAATTAAATAAATATTTTTAGATGGACCTAATTGAATTAAAGATATAATAATTTTAGATAAAGCAATTAAAACACCTTGAATTTGTCTTGAACCTTCAACTTTAAAATAAGAAGGAAATGAAGATAAATTAATACCAAATTTATAAATTATTTTATATAACCATATTTTTTCTTTTTGTGTTTTTCCAGAACTAAGAATAGAAGAATAATAAATAATATATTCTCTTTTATCTTTATTAAATTTTATTTCTTTATTTACTTTATCATTAAATTGTTTAAATAATAATTGATCTATATTCATAAGTAAATCAACACGATTTTCAATTATCATAGTCATTATTTTTAAACATGAATTATTTAAAGGAATTGAATTATTAGTAATAAAAATATTTATTATTTTATTAATAAGAATTAATATCATCCAATCATAACTTTTATTATTTTTTTTTAATATAATAAAGAAATATTCAATCAATAAATCAATAGAATTTGTAATAGTAATATTATTATTACAATTTAATCCAATCCAACTTGCTGTATGAAATAATAAATAAAAATTAAATGTAGAAAATGAATATTTATTTGTATCTTCTTTTATCATTTCTTTCATAAATTGTAAAACACCATTAACATCAAGTCTTTCATAAATTTGCATTGAATGAATAATTTTAGATAATTCTTCATTATGTTGAGCAATAAATAATAATCCTTCACAATATTCATAAGACATTTTATTTAATAATTCTTCATTAATTAAAGAAAGAGGTGTTACAATAGGTAATAATATAGAAAGTGTATTAGTATATCTCATATTTCCATATTGTGAAATTGTAATAAAATATTGAACTTTAGCACTTCTTTCAATAGAATTTCTACACATACTCATTGCATCAAATGAAACATTTACCATTAAATTATTCATTCCATCAATACTTTCTGTAAGTTTATATAATTTTTTTAATGATCCACTAAAAATTTGAAGTAAATTTTCACAATTTTTAGGTGTTTTTTGATATAAATTATTAATTATTGACCAAAGTTTAATTATTCCTTCATCTTGTTCATAACGTGGTGTATATCTTAATAATAATAATAATTCTTTTAAACAAATTATACACATTTTACATTTAGTTAAATCAATATTAGATAAAATAGATATTAATACTCCAATAAAATAATTCCTAAACCATAATAATCTTGCTTTTTTATCTTTTAATGAATCAACTTGTGATTTTTTAGATAATGATTGAATAAAATATGAAATAATAGAAGTTACATTTGATGATATAGGTAAATTAGATTGATTATCTGCTAATAATAATAAATTAGTTAATATTTTATTTGCTTGTTGAAATTCAAATCCCATTATACTAATATTTTTAACATTATTATTTATAATTTAAATAATTTAATAAAAAAATAAATAAATAAATACAAACTAATATTTAACTTTTTCACATTGTTTTTGAAGAGATTCAAATGTAATTTTTTTATTACTATCTTGCATTTAAATAAACAAATAAATCAAATAAAAATTTAATTTTATAAGATTGTATAAAATTTCTTTTCTTTTCTATTTTTTTCTTTTTTTAAAAAAAAAACAAAAAATTAATATTTACTTTTAGAAATTAAACTTCTTTTTTCAAAATAAGAAAGAATTCAATATACACAAAAAATGTTTTATTTTATTCACTTGATATATCTATTGTTGATATAATTTTTGGAATATCAGAATCATTACTATTCTTTTTATTTAACCAATTAAAATATTCTTTTCTTTCTTGAGTAAATTCATTCATTACTTTTATCATTTTTAATTCATTTAAATGTTTTTCAGATGGTAAAGAATTAATAATACTATTAAGCATATCTATTCTTTCCTTTAATGATGTATAAATATTTATATCTTGTTCTTTAGGATCATATAATTCAGTTTTTCTTTTTTTATATTGATTTATTTCATATTGTGTTAATTTTGAAGATAATAAATGATTTGATTTAATAAATAATGAACGATATAAAATAATATGAAAGAAAGCAGTACGAATAAGATCTGACCAATGAAAGAAAAAATAAGAGAATCTTTTATTAATAAGATAATCTAATAATAAAATATCTCGAGATGTCTTAATAAAATAAGGTAATATATCATAAATTAATCCTAATAATTTTAATAATGATTCTAAATGATCTGCTAATATTGACATTTCTATTATTTGAATAAAATCATGTATATTAAATGTATCATCAAATAAATTTATTAATCCATTATTAATTTTAATATAATATCTTAATATATTCTCTATCATTTTACCCATTCTTATCATTTGTTTAGTATCATAAATATTAGTATTTGTTTTAATTATAAATAATAATTCATTAACATCTGTAATATCATTTTCTTTAATAATAGATTTAAAACATGTACAAAGTGCTTTATTCTCTTTTATTTTCTGAAATTTTCTCATCATCTTACCAAGTAGTTCAAAAAACCATCTTTTATACATAAAAAATTCATTACTTCTAATAATTCTTTCTTTAATTATTCCAATCCTTTTTAATGATTTAATCCATTGAGGAATAAACCAAACAATAAACATAAATGGATTTGGATATATAAGAATAATTGGAATTATTGATTGTAATTCTCCTTGTCTTAAAACATTTGTAGTTGGAATAAAATCCAATAAAAAATGATAATTATAATGTGCAATAGTTGTACTTTCATTATTTTCACTTTGTGTAATTTTATTAATATTATTTAATATTTCTTTATCAATAACACATAATGCACCAATAATTTTACTTATAACAATATCAATTCCTTCTGGCATTCTTAAATTAATTTTTGTTGATAATTGTAAATATAAATCATCTAAACTTTGTAATGTTAATTTATCAAATATTTCTTCTCCAATAATACCTTTGATTGTTTTTTCTAATAATTGACTTATTAATAAATATGTTTCTCTACAACTAACAATATAACTTTGATAAATATCAAGAAGATCTTGAGTTATTTCTTTTGTTAATAATTGTTTTGCCATATCTGAAAATGATGTTCTAACAAATAAGATAATTTCTATTTATTTTAACATAAAAATTGTTGAAAAAAAAAACAAACAATGAGATACATTGATAAAGAATATTAAATATTGAAACCATTGAACTATTCATATATCCATAATTACAAATATATAATAAATGTGCCCAAAATTCAAATAATGTATCAAATGTTTTTCTATCATTAATATTAATAATTCCTATTTGAAATTTTTCTAATAATTCTTTAATTTTATCAACATTAGCCTACAACAATTAATATTTTATTAGTTATTATTTCTAATTCTAAAACAAACCATTACTAATTGTGGATATGCTGGAGATGAAGCAACAATTCCTAATGCTAATAATTTTTCAAAATGTTGATTAAAATTATTTAATTGAATAATTAATGGATTAGATTTGATTCGTTTCATATTACTTTAATATTATTTTAAGTTTAAGAGAAATCTAAAAAGTTATAATATTAATAGTTCTTTTAAATAAATTTCTTTTAATATGAATTTTCCTATTTAATAAAGAATTTTTTTTTAAATATTTAAAGTGAATCAAACAAAAAAACTTAATTAGTTTAATGTTTCATGCATTTGTATGGATATGGATCAGTTCCAATAGATCCATCAATATCAATAAGATATTCTTCACTTGAAACATATTGAAGTTCTTCTTTAACAGCAATAATTTGTTTATTAAGAGTTTCAGCTAATCTTGGTTTTTCGGTAATTGTCTTATTCAAATAAGCTAAGTCTTTATTTAATTTATTAATTTCAAGTTTTTGTCTTGTAATTAATCTTTCTTTATACCATTCACTATTAAGAATAGTTTTAGCATCAAACATATCTCTAAATTCTTTTGATTCACGTGTCATTCCATTATATTCACCATTTGCCATAATATAAATAAGTGCTTTTAATGGTGGACATGCTCCTTCAACTGTTCCATCTTTAATATAATTCATAGCAACTCCTTTATCAGTTTGTTCAATATATTCATATGAATCTGCATAAATAGCTAAATCTTGTAATTCTGGTTTAAGGAAATCTTCTGGCATAACAGAATTTGGTACTGAGAAAATAGATGAGAAATAATGTACTGTAAAATCTTTTGTAATTCTATATCCAAGTCTTTTTCCTGAATATGTTTTTCCATTATAAGTAACATCAGGACATGGTTCAAGATATCCATGTTCAATTAAATATTTTGGTTCTTGTTCATATCTTCTCATTCTTGACCAAATTTCTGGAATTAATAATGAAATATCATGTGCAACTTTATAATGTGGTCCACAATATGATGCAGATGATACAAATCCTGAATATCCACAACAAATCATTCCAAGAAGATAATTATTTAAATCAACTACTGCTGGAAGTGAATTAAATGGTCCTTTAGTTAATGCTCCTTCAGATCCTGCTCCAAACATTGATGGTGATGCACCTGTCATTGAAGTAATACATTCCATTAATAATTCTGGTAATTCAAAATAATGTAATGGTGCAAAAACTGATAATGGTCTTAATTTCATACCATTTTTAGCTACTTGTGGTGGATTATTTCTTCTTCCTGAAAGAACTGCATCTACTGGAGTATATAATGGTTCTTCATCACTAATTTTTCTAAATAATTGAATAGCTTTAAATGTCATATATGTATTCTCTGGATCTAACATATCTGGTCTTCTTTGTAAATATCTTGGATTTTTCGATCCAACAAGTTTATCTCCATCTTGAACTAATCTAGTATGAGATGATGAAACAATATATTTAGCTTCATCTTTACCTGCAACAAAATCTTGTAAACATTTTCTCATTGGTTCAGTATATTGATATAATCTTACAACATCTTTAGTAAAATCTTTAGCTTCTTCTCTAGTCATTGGTTGATAATTAGAAATAAAATGTCCTGGAATTGAAAAATCATATTCAGTTTGTTTATCATATCCTCTAAAAATTGCATCATCTGGTCTTTGGAATAATCTTAATTCACAATTCTTAACAATTTTACATGCTTTTTTACCATTAGTATTAATTGGTGTTTTAAGTAATTTAGTTGGAATAATAACTGATGCTGTAATATCATCTTCCATTTGTAATTTAGCAGCTGGGAAGAAATCTTTTCTTAATTGGAAAACTCTCCATGTAGTTTCATCACGTTCAAATCCAATTCTAAGATATTGTGATGGAAGTGGCATTTTTCTATATTTTAATTCATGTCCTTCTTTACCATTAATTTTATCTACAGTAATTCTTGATTGCCAATCTCCTTTCCATTCTTCTCTATAAAGAGATTTAATAGTTAAAGCTAATTCTACAATCATTGGTGGAATTCCTGCAACAAATTCATTATGTTCTTCAGTAAAAAATGATGATGGTGTTAACATTTTAACAACTGTTCCAAGAGTAACATTTGGATCAAGAATATGTGCACTTTTAATTTCTCCATCTGCATATCTTCTTGAAAAATCATGATCAAATACTTTTTGAACTGCTTTAAATTCTTCTTCTTTATTATTAACAAACATTTTTCCTTCAAATATAGCATCTGAAATATTCTTTGAAATTTCTGATTTTCCTCCTCCTGAAACAGTACATGGTTTATGACAAAGAGTATATTGTGGAAGAATTCCTCTTAATGTCCATCTTCTTGATGTCATTGTATCATGTAAAATAATAGTATAACCATTTGGTAAAACATAATTTACTTTTGGTATTAAAAGAATACTTTCTTCTTTTCCATTATGATTAAATTTAACTGATGCATCTTCAATAGTAAATATTGAATCTTCTGGAACATAAATAATTCCTTCTGGATATTTTTTATCTATAGCATATCCTTCTTCTTTAACAATTATTGATTGTTTATTCTTTTCAATCATTTCACTAAATTTATATCCTTCTGCATATTGAACACCTTTACATGCTTCTCCAAGATCATATGATGGTCTAGTTATAGCTCCTCCTGCATGTTCTTCTTCTGCAAATCCATATAAATTAGCTGAATATGAAATTTGTGTTTTAACTTCTTTCTTACAATATCCAAAATAATTATCTGCAATAATAGTACAAATAATTCCTGATGCATCTCTACAATACATTTTAAATGTTTTTCCATCATTATATAATTCATCTTCTTTTTCCCAACACATTCTTTCTTTTTTTTGTCTTTCTGTTGCTTGACTAATATGTGGAAGTCCACATTCTTTTTTTGTCATACGAGTAAGATGTGGTGCAAGAATAGCCATTCCACTATGTCCAGTCCATCCAAGTGGATCAAGTGCTGCATCATTTTTAGATAATCTAGGATTACCAGCATTTCCAAAAACTGATTCTACAAAATCAAGACATGAAACCATATTTCCTGGTACAAAGAAATGCATTTCAGTAGCTTTTTCATGTTCAAATCCTTTAACTCCTTTTACTCCTGGAACAACAACTGGTCTCATATAAAGTGAAACCCATGATTTTGTTGGTTCTTTACATTCAGCTGTATATGGAATAATAAGATGATCAGCTGGTGCTCCATAAAATGCTGCTTTAAGCATTCTTAAAAATGCTATTTTTGGACATTCAATTTTATCTGCTGGAACTGGAACATCACTTTGACAAATATGGAAAACACCAACTGTAGTTCTTTTATCTTTAGCTGGATTATGAAGTACTCCTTGTTTAATTTTATATGATTTCATTGTTTCACAAAAGAATTCTTGTTTATGTGGTGGAAATGATAATACTCTTCCAAGTCCTTCTCTATCAAGAATAAAAGTATTATCTGGAATTTTTGGTACTTCTTCTCCACATTCTGCAAAATATGAATTAAGAAATGTTTGAAGTCTAGCATCAATTGGTGCTGTACTTTCTTGATCTCCTTCAGCAATAATATCAACTAATGGTGCAACAATATCAATAGCATCAGATTTATCATGTTTTGGATATTCTTTTCCCATAGCAGATAATTTTAAATCTGCAAGTGCTTCAAGTTCTTGAATATTAAGAACAGGATAATCAGTACCTTTTTCTTGATTAAACATATTAATACTTTTGAATATTTTTAAAGTTTATCTTATGATCTTTTAATTATTCTGCCAAATCGTGATGATTTGTTTCCACTTCTTTTCATTCCTTTCTCTGTTTTCTTACTATTTTTCTTCTTTTCATAGTTTTTTCAACTTTTCCATTTCTGTTCTTTCTTTTTTTTTTCTTTTTTTTTTTTTTTTTTGTGTCTTCCTTAGGGATTTTGAGGTAATTATTTTACTCTCTTTTTGTTTGTTTGGACAGAAATTACAATTGTCCTAAAACAAATACCAATTGACCTTATACCACCTTCACTACTCAACACTTTGTTTTTTCTTTGACAATCCACAACTCATCCAATAATTTTGTATTTTGATTATTTATTTCTAATTCAACTCTCTATTTTTTATTCAATTATGAATCAGTGTTGAATAATATTTAATGTTATTGTATTGAGAATTAAAGAAATGGTTTTTTAAATCTCATAATGGCTCAGTTGTTGAAAAATGGAGGAGAAGAAACCTAAATGGTCATTAAATGAACCTCTAAAAACAATCACTGTATTTGAATCAAAAGAAGTTTTACCTGTTGAGGTAAATAATCAAAGGAATAAAAAACTACCAAAGAAAAAAGAGGAAACCATTGAGTATCAATTTAATGAAATTAATGTAAATAATGAACAAATAAATACTTTAATTACAACAGAATTATTTGGATCAGAATATTACAAATATTTCTATGAACTATCATTTTCAACAGAAAAAGTAAAAAGATTTAATTGATAAATATCTTTTTTCTAGAATGGTTTTAATTATTATCAAATAGTATTAGTTCTTATCTTTCTAAAACTTTCTTCTTCCATCTTCAACCTCTAATTAATTACAAACACTTACTTTATAATTGTCATTGAGATTAAACATTTTTGGAGAAAAATGTTTACATAATTTTTGTTTATCAGAAAGAGTTAACCAAGTTTTTAAAATTCATTATTTTATTCATTATATTTTCATTCTTAACAGATGTTTTGAACTATTCATCTAGTAATTTACAAGGAATTGTTATTAATTCAAATACACTAGTATATCAATCAATTTTGTGTACATCAAAAATACTAACAAAAAAGAAAATTATGATTATGATCATAATAATAGTTATTATGAATATTACTAATAAAAATAATCCATAAGTAGAAATGAATTTACTTTTTGAAAAGTTATATGCTATTATCATTAAAGACCAAAATAAATTTATTGCACTATTAAAATATAACCTAAAAAATAAATAAAATCTTATATATTGAATTAAATTAATGTGTTATTATTATTATTGCTATGAGTCAATCTCTTGTAGTTTGAATATTAGAAAACTCTTTGAATTATTAAAGTTTAAAGAAACAGATTGTCTATTCATAATTCTAGAGATAAATTAATGAATGTGTATGTTAGAAATCATATAAAGATATTAGTACAATTAAATGAACACTATTTTGATTGGGTTGAAGTACATTTTTGTTAAACAGAGATAATAGTTATACAATATGTATTTGTATGAATTTCATGTTTAAATGGAATTTCTTTTCATTGTGTTACTATCTTTTGATGTGTTTACTAAATCTAATACCCATTTTAGTATTTGTTTATAATAAGAATTTTTGTAATACCACTTATTAATTCTTGTTAGAATAATCAAGAAACTATAACATAATCACAACAATGTTTAGTTCATCAAGAAATATCAATAGAAAGTATTGATTATATAAATTAGTAAATGAATTACAAATTCAATACTTTATTAAAAAAGTTTTCTTTTTGTTTTAAGATGTTTTATAATTCTTTCTTTTTAACAAATCACTTTACTGATTCAATTATTACTTTTATGATATCACTTGATACATAAATAAATGACATAATAATCTATGCTTAAAAGTTAATAAAAGTATTGTTAATTATTTCTTCACTGTAATATTACAAATAATATATTTAAAATGAAATTATAGCCAACAAAAAAAACATTTAATGGATTTATATGACCATTTAAAACACTATAAAAGTATAATACATATTATTTATGAGTGTAAATGAAAGAAATAATATAAAGAAATAATTTTAAAATAACATCTGATTTGATAACAATATAAATTGTGTTTGAAAGTTTAGTGTAATAAGAATAAAAAGAATTATTTTAATCATATGGAATTCAGAAGAATGTTATTAGTATGAATATTTTATATGGAATTATTTATTGTAACCATTCATTAAGTTATTATTAAAATGTTATTTTGTGTATGTATCAACTTATTGTTCATGAACTTAAATATTATTATTCATTATTTATTTAAAAATAAATAGCTTCTAATATTTCAAATTAAATAACAGAACATGCAAAGAAAAGTATCATTTGTATTATATTTTATTATCACCATAAAAGAAGAAACAATAAATCATTCTAATTTTGTTTAACAATTTTAATTCTAAGAATCACTCAAAAGTGGTTATAAAAAATTAACAAATATTTAAAAGAATAAGAAGACAAATTAATTGAATTTACTCATCAATCGAAATTATATTATAATGTTAAAGTACTTAAAAAGAAAGAATCATTTATTCATTAGAACCTTTATTTATTATTGAAACAAAACGCTTTTTTTTAATTTAAATGATAGAGTCTATGCTAATTTATATAACAATGAACACTTTGAGAATACAATCATATTTTATTGTGATTTTTTGTATATATTTAAAAACAACTGTTTATCAATTAGTTTAAAATTAAAAAATAGTACTAAGCTTATGCCATATGTCCTAGTGAAACATTTAATGTTTAGTGTTCATGTATCAAGGTAACAGGAAGTACATTAAAAATATTTTCATTTAATTTGTTTTAACACGAGAATATCAAAAAAATAAAATTTCGTTATATATATCAATATAATAAATTTAAAAAAAAAAAGAAAAATTTAAAAAATAACACAAAAATAATAAACAACAGAAAATGGAAGAAGTTATCAAAAGAGGTGATGGAAGAGAGGCAAATGAAATTCGTGCAACAACAATCAAAATTGGAGTAATTAGTGGAGCAAAAGGAAGTTGTTTAATACAAAAAGAAAATAGTAAAGTTATATCATCTGTACAAATCAAAACACAAGACGAATCAATAGATTTTGAATTTACAGTAAAAGTGACATTTGCCCAATTTGAGAATAATAGTCTATTCAACAATAGAAAAGAAATTGAACTTCAAGAAATCTTAACACAATCATTAACTTCTCGTATTAATCAAGAAAGCAATAAAGGAAAAATTATTTGTTTACAAGTATTTGTTATGGAACAAGATGGAAGTGTTGAAGATAGCATAATCAATTCTAGTTCATTAGCACTATTTGATGCAGAAATTCAAATGGATAGCATTATTATTGCAACAACAGTTGTTAAATTGCCAATATATAATCAAGTTATTGTTGATCCAACAGCATTTGAAGAAGAGAAAAAAGAAGGATCAGTTCTAATTGCATGTATTCCATCTAATTCTTCTATCACTCAAATTTATATGAGTGGGGTATTAGACCCACAAGATATTTCTAGTTGTCTTTCTATTGCATTAGATAGTTGTTGGAAATTAAACAAAGAAATAGAATTAATTATACAATCAAAAAAAGTTAAGATGATTGAACATTAATAAAATAATTACTTTTATTATTTTTCAAGTTTTAAAAGAAGAAAGAATAATAAATTTGATTTAAAAAATAAAAGAAAGAGTCTAAATTACTTGTTAAGCAGTTTCTCTGCAAATATAAAAGAAATCATCTAATAAGTATTGATAATCACTCTTTTTCATTTTTATACTTGCAAAAGAGTTGATGATTTCAATTGGAAGGAAGTTATATTCTTTCTGAATTACTAATGAAGTTTTTTGAGCAATAAGTTCTGGATTTTGTTCATATAATAAACTCATTAAATCAATAACCTTTTCTCTTTTAGTTTTAGTTGTAAATTTACGAGCATTTGATAGTAAACTTCTTATTAAAGTTTCTCCTTCATTTTGAAGATAAGTATTTGAATATGAACTTCTGTTAGAATGGAAGAAAAGAATCATTGAATCAACTACAGTTCCAAAAGTTTCACCACTCATAGTATCTAATACATTTAATGACCATGGAATAAATCGTTGTTGAAGGACTGATTCAGAGAATTCTAATGGATATTTATCAAGTAATTGAGAGATAATAATAAAACATTCAGTAATAACATCGGTATAACTACTTTTTGGTTGAATAAGAACAAATTGGAATATTGTATCAAGAACGGGTGGAATAAAAGTAAAGCAATAATTTTTACATAATGGATTATGAGAACGGTCATCTTCACGTTTAAGAGCTCGTATAAGGAAAGAATACATTTTAACAATAGAAGCTAAATGAGTATTTTGCCACCATTGAACCATTTGAGTAGAAATTGTTTGAGTAAAATCTACAATAGATGGACCAATGAAGAAGAACAAATATCTAATACAAGAAGCAATATCTTCTATTAAAGATTCATTCTTATTTTGAATAGCAAGTTCCATTAATCTAAATAAAGTAGGGATAACATCATACTTTTGTAAAAATGAGATAGTGATATTTTGTAAATTTAATTTAACACCAGAATCAAACCATGAAGTCAATATTCCAATGAGTGCTGTCATTGATTCTGGTGATGTTGGTTGAGATAATGATTTAACGAGTGGTGGAATAAATGTTTCTATATATTTTAGTTTAACTTCAAATGGTTGTTTTTCTAAAACTAAACAATAACCATTTATTAAACTACTAAATGATCCATTAACTCCACCAATTTTCCACGACTGTGGCATTTGTTGATAAACAGATGAGAATGTTTGTGAGATTGCATCAATTAATGGAATGAAATCAACAGCACAACCATCACACATATTTTCAAATGAAATTGCTACAGACTCAATAAGTTCAGGAACACTGATATATTTAAGAATGTATTGGAGAGCTGTAGGTGCAAATGTAGGTGCATAATTATGTATCCAATCACAATATCTACCAACACAAAATACTGAGGTATGAAGAAAATGAAGATTAGTTGACTCAATTTTAACTATAGATTGAAGAATAGATAATACCATTTCTGATTTATATTCACTTAATACTCTTGCTAAAGATCTAAAACAAAACAATGATGCTTCTGCAATATCTAATTGATTTGGTATTGTTGAAACGCAAATAGATGAGATTGTATCTAATAGTACTGGGCATGGTACAATATCACATGACCTTCTTACAAATTCACTAATAACATCTTTTCTAAAATCAATAAAATCAATAAGTTCTTCTTCATCTCCATTATCTATTAAAGGTGTTTGTATTCTTAAAACATGTTCAAACATTGAAACAAATGTTTCTGTTAATGCAAAACATATTTTATCTCTCATACTTTCATGTGCTGTTTCATTTAGGAAATCAGTTAAATCAACTACAACATCAGTGATTCTTGTTATATTTCGAATAGACCTAATACAAGTGAATTGATCCAGTAATCTATAATACATAATAAATTGATTAGAATCAATTTTATCGATATACGTTGTTAATACAAATCCTAAAGAACAATAAAAATCACTCACCCATTCAAAATCTTCAATATCCCCTTGGGTTGTTTGAACAATGGAAGATATATTTGTTATTAATTGTTTAAGAATATATTGAACTATATCAATACACATTCCAACTTCTTCATCAGTTGTTCTCTCATCAATTGAACGAACTTTCTTCATAAAATAATAAAATGAATCAGATGAACGTTCTCTTAAATTTTTTTGTTTAATTCCTTCAAAAATCATTTGAATGATCTGACACTGATTTAATAATGAAATAGAAACATCAAGATTTTGAATCCAACTATTAAAACAATCTAAAGCATTTCCTGGAAATAAAACAAATGAACGTTGAATAAAATCAAGTATTGTCGGTGATGTACGAATTAAGTTATCATGTAATGAATAAAGATATTCTTTCTTTGCGAATGGTAATTTCTTATTTGCCTCAGCTATTGAAGAAAACATTAACAATAAAACAGGAATATTAGAAGTATCAGTAATAGGAAAATTTTGTATAATTAAAGGAAAGTAATCATTCCATGAATTTGATTGGACACATAATGCTGCTAATGATTGTGCAAGATGAGATGTAATCATTTTTTGATTTTTATATACAGATAAACACTTTAATATAAATTTAAATAATTCATCAAAATTCTCTATTTCTTTGAAATTATAACACACTTTCTTCTTTAATATAATTGCTCCATAATAAATTCGTTGTTGATAAAATGGAACATTTGGTTCACTAGTTAATAACAATGGAATAACTTGCCATGCCTCTTTAGTTTTCATAAATTCTTGTAAGTATTGGTCTGCCTTTGTTGTTTCTTCGGGTATTTGTTGTGGTGAATATAATACAGAAATTGCATTAAGAACATCTTCCACTGATTGGATCATTTTAGGTTTTTCTAGTTTTTTGTTTCATTTTTGTGGAAAAAGAAAGAAAACTGAATTAAATGACGTGGTTTAACATAATAATTTATTTTATAATAAATTATATTATAATATTTAGTTGTGTATTACCTCTTTTCTTTATTAAATAGATGAAGTGCAATAAGAACAAAGACATTAAAAGCAATACAAAATCCAGCAAGTACAAAATAATCAACAAGGATTGAAGAAGTAATTTGTAAAGAATCTAAGTATTGTCTACCACTTGTATATGGACATTCACCACCAACTAATTCATCTGGTTGACAAAAAAGAGGGATATCATCAAACTGATTTAACATTACCAATTCAAATGCATATCTTAGGTAAGAGAGATAATATGCCCATAACCAAAATCCAATAATATTATCTTTTTGTATAAAGAATCCTGTAAAAATCATCAAAATTACTATAAAAATAGGAGATATAATTTGTGCAACTGTAATGTTTGGTGATATTGCTGCAATTGCATAGTACATTCCTTGAGAAGTAAAAGTTGTCAATACTAATGCTCCCCACATACATAAAAAGTTAACAAAACCAGGTCGAAGATTAAGCATTGGATAAGCAATAGCTAAATACAGTGTTGGATAAAAAATTAAAAATGGAATGGAATGTAGAATATATGCACAATAATAAGATGTAATAGTGTATAGTCCTTTTCCTGATTCTCTTCTCATTAATGTTCTTTCTTCTATAAATTGAATTAAATAATCCATTAATGACATTGCTTGAGAGGTAACAATAAAAAAGAGAACACCTCCTTTATCTCTCATTCCTTGTTGATCATTTTGAATATTAAAGAAGACAGATCCAATTAATAAAGAAAAAAATATTTTTGCAAAGATTTGACCAAAAATTTGTGATGGATCACGATAATCTGAGATTACTAATCTTTTAATCAATTCATAAAATCCTACTGGTCTTCCAATTGTTTTTTTCATTTTTTCTAAATCAACAGAATTTATTTCTTCAATTTCTTTAACTATTGTAGTTTTTCTTTTCTCAAATACTTGTTGAACACTTTTTTTCTCTCCTCCAAAATTCTCTGCTAATAACTCTCTTCCTTGGTCATTTCCATACTCGTATGCACCAGCATCCATTAATGCATCAGCAACATTATCTTCTGTTTCAAACCCAGCTTCTTTGAGAAATGATTTACACCCACTTGGTGGGCCAAAATACATCATATGACCACGATTTAGCATAATAATCTTATCAAATTTTTGAAATATTAATGGTCTTGGTTGATGAATAGTACAAACAATTGTTGTTCCTTTATGTGCCATTTTTTGTAATGCATTAACAACAGCTAATGAACTAAATGAATCCAATCCAGTAGTTGGTTCATCAAGAAACATTATACCTGGTTCAGTTACTAATTCACATCCAATAGATACTCTTTTTTTTTCTCCACCACTAATTCCTCTTCTTTTCTCTGTTCCAATTAAAGAATCTTTAATTTTAGTAAGATCTAATACATCTAGTACTTCTTTAACAATCATCTCTCTTTCACTTTGTCTACTTGAAAGTGGTGCTTTTAATTTAATATAGAAATTTAATGCTTCTTCTACCGTTTGTGTACCTTTTAGATAATCAGTTTGTGAAACATATCCAATTGATGTTTTAAACTTTTTTACATCTTCATTATTAACTAAAACTTCTCCACTAATATTTCCTCGTTTATTAATACCGGAGAGAATATCTAATAATGTTGATTTCCCAGCACCACTTCCTCCCATTAAAGCAACTAATTCTCCTGCTTCTATAAATCCACTAACATCATCTAAAATGACTTTCTTTGTTAATTTTATTGGAAAAGAAAGATGATGAAAGAAATCTTTATTTATTTCTAATCGATTAATTGAATAACTAATGTGCTTAAATGTGAGATTAATTGGATTGATTTGGAGACATGGACTGATAACATCAAACGCTTTTTCATGACTATTTGATTCCCCAACATCAATGACAATCGTTGGTTGTTCTTCTTTCTTATCCATTGAAATATATACATTCTTTTTAATCACTTTCTTTATATATTCTTAGTTTTTTGCTGAGATTTAACTTGTGATGACAAGATTTAAATATTCTTTTATCCATAACAATTATTTTATAAATAAGAATATTAATAACAAAATTTAAATTATTTTTTATTTTTGTTATTCATTTCATTGGTTATTTTATTTTTTGTTTTTAGAATTATTCTAATTTTATAGATAGAACTAAAAAAATCAAATGTCGAGAACCCAATCACGAATTGCCCGATTATCTCAAATGTTTGAACAAAAACAGAGTGATGGAATTCCTAAATTGGAAGAATTAAAAGCAAAAAGAAGAAATCCATCACTTGAAAAGTCTACAAAGAAAAATGAAAATCATCTAACAAGTAATACAATATCAACACCAAATAATGAGAGTAATGGAGCTATAGAAAAACCAATTGAAATGATTCCTTTAGATGAATTTGATGATGATTTAGACTATGAAGAAGAAATAATATTTGAAAAGAAGAAATAAATATTACAACCACCTTTGTTTAAGAATGAATATATAATTTAAGTCTCACATAATTATTTCAGGTTAATTACAGCTAATGTAACTATTCCACCAATTAAACACAATATTAATACTAAAGAAATAACAATAAGTAACCAAAGCTGATGATGTGTCAATCTATTTTTTTCTATTTATAAATAACTAAGAAAAGAAAAAACAAACCTTGAAATTCTTCCACCAATATGTTTTTCTCAACACTACTGCTTGTTTTTTAAATTGTTGAGCATTTATTGACATCTCATTTGATTGGATTTCTAATTCCTCTGCTGTAGCAATATTCTGTGTCATCATTTCAACATTTTTTGCCATAGTATTTCTTGTTTCTTCAAGTTGCTTCTTGATTCTATCTTTTTGACTTTCAAAATAGGGACTTCTAACAACAGTCCTATGAATGGGTAATAAGTTTTATAATAAAAAATTTAAGAGAAGAATTACAAACGGAAACATGACGAATTATTATCTATATTTTTCTATTCATAAGTAAGTTCTTAAATAATCTTGACTATTCATTTGTCAATAATCACGAAACAAATACCCAAAAAAACAATCTCAAAAATAAAAAGAAAGAATGAAAAGCAGTCATAAGAGACCTTTTAGTGGAAAACAAAAAAAACAACAACTAAGTGAACGAAGAGAAAGAAAGAGAGGAATAGTAGAAACACAAACCAAGAAGAATGTTCAAACAGAAGAAGAATTAGTGTCTGAGACAAAAACAAAGTTGAAAGAACAAATTTTTTCAACCAAAAGAGATTTGAGACCAAAACTTCTTGGGATGGAAACCAAAGAAGAAATTGATGAACGTAAGAAGTTAGCAGATCTTCCAATCGACTTAACAAAACGAGTGGATGGAAGAACTATTCCATTATTTGATATAACCGGTGAAGAACTTGATATTATCACTCGACCACCATGGAATTATGACATGACTGCTGAAGAATTAGATCAAAACGAAAAAGTGGTATTTGAGGAATGGATAACAAAAATTATTGATGAACATCCCAAAAATATAAATTATTTTGAAAGTAACTTGGAGACATGGAGACAATTGTGGAGAGTTGTTGAACGATCTCAAGTTGTTTTAATGATAGTTGATGTTAGATTTGGGTGTATTCAATTTAACAGAAAAGTAGCAGAATGGGTTAAGAGTTTAAACAAAGGATTTGGTGTGATATTGAACAAGAGTGATTTAGTTGATGAAAGGATAGTATTAGAATGGCAAGAGTATTTCTTAAAAAAGTTTGAGGTTAAAACACTTTACGTAAAAACAAATCAAGCAATTGAAGGAAGGACTGAAGATTGGGACCTTGAAAGTATTAGAAATGAAAAGAAGAAAGAGGGTGGTGAAAAGAGTTATGTTAAAACAACATTACAAGATTTTGAAAATTTTGTAATGGAATTAAAACCATCTAAAGAAATAGAAGAAGAAGAAAAAAAAATTAAACAAAAAGAAGAGGACTCTAAAAAGATAAAGTCTAAAGAAAGTAGTTTAGTTGTTGGTTTAATTGGAAATCCTAATGTTGGAAAGTCATCACTATTAAATTGGCTTGTTGGTAAGAAAGTTACTTCTGTTTCATCTCATCCAGGAAGAACAAAATATCTTCAAACGTATAATATGAATAAACGTATTACTCTTGCTGATTGTCCAGGAATGATGTTTCCAATGATAAATCAATCTCAATTGATTCAAGTAATTTGTGGGATTTACCCATTAAGTCAACTAAGAGAACCATATAGCATAGTAAGATTTTTCTTAGAAAGACTACCACTTGATAAAATTTATTCAATTGAATTAACTCCAAATATGACGGTAATGGAATTTGTTGAAGCATATGCACAGAAAAAGAGTTATATCACAGGAAAGGCTGGAAGATTTGATACTCATAAAGCAGCAAGAGAAATACTAACAGATTGTATAAGAGGGAGAATAGTATTTATGTTTGAACCACCAAAGTTAGAATAAAAAAATTCAAACTTCAAAGTTATTTTGTTTTGTTATTTATATTTTTTTCAAGAGAAAAATAAAAATTTTATATTGAATATAATTTAAAATAGTAAAATTAATTAAAAGAAATAGTAAATAAAAAGAATTATAAAATGATAGACATGGAAGGAAGTCAGATGATACCATTAGTATTCCAGTTTCAATACTTACTACAAAATAAAATCGTCTATCGGTATAAATTTCCTGAGAGTATTGCATATAAAAAATTACAATTTTATTCATATGGATTACTAAAAGAAAGAATAAGTAAAATTATATTAAACCAATTTGGAACAGCTTCACCTCATGCTATGACAAGAGTAAGAGAATTTGTTTTAGCTTCCAAACATGAAATGGCTGGAGAAATTGATGTAGATGAATCAGTATTTGAAGTACTTTTAACTGAGTGTTTATTACTTCAAGGAAATGCTCATATATTTGGAGAACAATTATTATTATCAATGTTTCAATTAGGCTTACAACGATATATTTCTTCTGTAGACCAAAGAAAAACAAAATGGATTAATGAAGGAAAATTAAATACTTTCAATGAGAAATATATTGAATTACCAATGACTCCTTCACCAACTTCATATTCTTCTTTTTATGGTTTAAAATATTAAATTTTGTTTGATTTGGTTCTCATTTAATAAAAATTAGTCAATTGAATGCTATAAGATGAGAATAATTTAATCTCGGTCTTCTACTTGTTCAATTCCACATTCTTTTAATAAAACAGAGACTTCACGATCTTTCATAACTTTAAAACTTGGTTTATTTTGATTATCTAATTTAAAAATACCAAATTCTAATTTAGATGGTACCATTGATGAACTTTCTACACTTTTACTAAAGATTTTAACCGCTAATTTTTTTGCTTCTTCTAATGTAATATCATCTTTATATTCTGTTTTCATAATCGATTCAGCTGCTTGATAATTAGCTCCAATAGCAGTAGCTTTCCATCCTCCATAATTTCCACTTGGATCACACATATATAATTGATATCCAAAATATCTATCCCATCCAGCATATAAGAATGAAACTCCATATGGTCTTAATCCACCATATTGAGTATAACTTTGTTTCATATCACAAATTCGTTGTACTAACATTTCTACTGGTATTTCTTCTCCATATGTAAATCTATGTTGTTGACATACATCTCTTAAATAATCTACTAATATATTTGTATCTGATGTTATTCCTGCTGCAGCACATGCAATGTGTTCATCTAATTCATACATTTTATCTGCCCCTTTAGACCTATCAACTAATCGTGCAACTCTTTTCTTTTTAGCAGCAAGTAAAATTCCATCAGTGGCTAAAATACCAATTGCACTTGATGAATGACTAATAGCTTCCATTGCATATTCTACTTGATACAGTCTCCCTTCAGGGGAGAACATAGTAGTTCTACTATCATATCTTCTAGCCTATAACCAATGTGAATATTTTTCTTTCTTTTCCATTGAAGTTTTCTTAACAAACCATTTCTTCAATTTTATTTTAAGTTTTCTTCTCTTTTTTTATGATTTTTTAATTTTTTTTTTGAAGTGTTAGGGTTTGACTTATTTTGTAGAATATATTAAAATTTTATTTCATGTAATGATGTTGAAGAAGTTACAAGTTTAAATGAAAGATTAAAATCAATTAGTGTAGTGATAAAAGTTGTAGTGTTTCATTCCATATTTCGTGATTGATTTTTCTTTTTCCATAAGAAGAACCTAAAATACAAGCAACATTTAGCCATTTATGTAATGACATTTGATCTATATTTGAATTAATTTTTCTTGCACTAACAAATGAATCTGTGACTATGTCTTGAAAATCTTCATTAATAGAGCATTTTAATTGTCTACAATAAGCAAAATATCTATACGCATCCAATATTTCTTTTTGATTCCATTTATGGAGTAGTTGTTTTATAGAAATATTTGTGATTCCCTGATGAATGATAACATTGTGATCACATGATCTAATCATATCTTCGTTATAACCTTTTTTAGTAACAAAAATGACAGAACAATTAATTGGGATATTTACTGGTTGACCATAAATATTAAATTGTAATATTTGTTGATTTAATAACTCTTCTATTAGTATTTTATTTTGTTCATTAATCTCTTTATTTGCAACAATAATTACTATACTATCATTTCCAATTTGTAATGAATGTTCTTCATATTCAATAGTTTCTGAAGTAATTTGTGGAAGTAATGATTTAGTTTGACAAGCATCAATAACTTCAACAAAAGGATTAAAAAATTGAAGTGTTTCTTTTAGATTATTAATAAAAGGATCAATTGTGTCAACAATTAAACCTAATGAATATTTTTGAAGAACCATAGGTTGACGAGTATGAATTGAGCTAACTAAATTAAGTAATAAATGAAGGTTCATAGGTTCAGGAATAATAGAATTAAAAAGGGTTAAAATATGATTTCTAATATCGAAATTATTACAATCCAAATTAATAACTTTTGTATGTTGGTTTAAAACGATATTCATTTGAGGAGTAATTCCATTAGAATCAAGACAATATTCAGTTAATCCGAAAATTCTCCATAATAATATATAAAGTCTTTGATTTGTAGGTAATTTAATGTCTAACTCATTATCTTCATCAAAACGAGACGATTGGTAAATTCCTATCAAATGATATCTTTCACCTATTTTTAATTGAACTCCATCTTCAAATCCAATAACACAAATTAATTGATTAATAGAATTAGTTTGTTTATCTTTTTTCATTAAATTACCACGTGAATAACAAATTGATGGAATAGACTTATTATATAATCCTTCAATTTTACATAAATAACGATTTCTTGATATATAGTTAAATTCATTTACTTCATCTTCTAAGGTTTCTAAATATCTTGTTAATTTTCCATTAACAGATTCATATGATATTTGTTGATCTAATTCATATATTACTGTTACAACTATTGACACTAATGATCTATCACTTATCTTAAGTGGTGTAGAATGATTAATTAATTTTTGATAAAATTCTGAGTTATGAATCAATTCTTCTAAATTATTTAATTGGTTTTTATGATTTTGAGAAGGAATTCCACAAAAGAATTGATCAGGTACATCAATACAACTAAAATCCATTTTTTCTTTATTTATTTTTTTTAGTTTTTTCTTTATTTTTTTTATTTAAAAAGGAAATTACAAAAATAATTACAAAAAGAAACATTTAATATTAATACCATTGAAGAATAATAATATTAGATATTTCAAACGTATTTGGTTTTGTTTTACCAACAAATAAATCAGAAGTATATTTTGTGTCATAAATAAAAGAGAATTCAGAAGAAAACGTTGATTTAGAAACTCTTAAATCATAAGCAGAACACATTCCAATTAAACCATTTTCACTATCATCAGCATATAATACCATATAGTCTTGATATTTAGATGTATAAAATATTTGTGGTTCAATTCCATAAAAATTAATAAAAGTAAATAAAAAATATCCACCATTTTGTTTATATCGTATTGGTAATAAATTTTTTGTTATTTTTAATGTGTTTTGATGGTATGAACCAAAGATAAATCCTTCAGTTGTTTTGACAATTACTGTTATATTCTTTCTTCCTATTATTTTTGAATTTATTTGTCTTGATGATAATTCTTCTATTTCACTATTATAAATAATATCAAAATAATTTAACTGAATCCATTCTTTTAACTTTGTTACAATCCCTTGAAATTCCTTATTTCCAATTGTCATTTTAATCAAGAAACTCTCTTTCCTCTTTTCTTAGTTCATCTTCTTCTTTATTATCTTCTTCTTAGTTTCTTAAATTTTTTTTTTCCCGTTTTTATCTCATTTGTTATTTATAACAATAAAATATCTATTAAATAATATCTCCAATTTAAAAAATCTTGATTTGTAAAACACAAAAATAATCTTACTCTGCAATGTTCTTTATTTTTATCTTTATCATAATACGAATACTTTTAACGGTGGATTAATTCTTTAAATAATTACTCTCAGTACGTCTTTAACTGGACTTTTTCTTTTATTTATAATAATGGATATTACCCTCACCATTCTAATTAATTTATTTTCTATTTATGTTAACTAAAAGAAAAGATAATAATAAATTATTATCAAAATAATACTAATAATCAGAAATTTTGAAAATTATATAAATAATGAGTATTTCTTCAATAGGTGATGTCACTTTATATCCTTGTGATGAAAAACTTGTAAAAAATGGATGGTTTAATGATAACTTGATTTCATATCAAATTGAATACATCAAAAAAGAATTTCCATTGAAAGATGCTTTGATAATTGATCCATTAGGATATGTGTTATTAAGTCTTGGGGATGATAAACAATTGTTAAATGATTTAAACGCAAAAGAATACCATCATTTAATTATCACAGTTAATGATTTAACTGATAACAATAGTGTAAATAACGGATCTCATTGGACACTTCTTTATATTGATTTATTTTCCAAAATGGGATATTACTATGACAGCGTTCCCTCTCATTCTACTTTTCATGCAGAAGTTCTTCTAGATAAAATATCTCTTTTCTTTGGCTTTCCTATTACTTTTTATAAGGCACATTGTCCTCTTCAAACAAATGGACTTGACTGTGGACCTCATGTTTTAGCAAATATTTATGCGTTATGTATTTTATTAAAGGATAACATACGTAGCTTTGAAGTACTTCATCCACCTTATACTGCTTCAGAAATCCGTTCATTAGTGTACTCAGAGATTCATCACCTTTAATTTTCCTTTCTTATTTCTTTTTCTTTCTAATTTTAAAGTTCCTTTTTCAATCCAAAGAACCACCAAGTTATATTATCATAAACATTGAATAGTATGATTGAATTTTTGTAAAGAAAATCAAACAGCAAACAAATCAAGGTCATTCAGAAGAGTGAATATAATAGAAATAAAAGGCATCTTCTGTGGTAAAGAGTTAAGTATAAAATTGCTAAAATAAAATTTATAGAACTTTAATTTCTATTTTATTTTATATTTAAAAATATTTCATTCTAATGAATATCTTGTTCATGAGGTACTTTTATAAATCTATATTCATCTGCATAGTGTCTACATTATTTTGTTAAGTATTTCATATTCATATTTATTATATATCTTATCATTATTTCAATTGTTTTATAATATTTTGTTCAATTTTTATTCTTTCTTTGTCTTTATTAATTATTCTATTTATCGTTATTACTGTTTTATATTCTTTTTTATTATTTTATTGATAATTTCTATCAATTTCAGTTGATTATTAAATATTAGATTTATCTTTTTATCACTTCATTTTATTATTTATTATTCTTATTTATCTTCTATATAAATGTCTTGTTATTTATAGTTTGTTCACTTTATTAATTATTTTATATTTTAATATAATATTCATTTCTTTATTTTCTATTCTTATTTTGATTTTATTTATTTCATTTTTATTGAAGATGAGCTTCATTTTATTCTCTATTTCTTCATCATTTATTATATTTATTTTATATTAGTTATTCTCAATATATAATTTATTTATTAAATCATGTTTATCAATTTGTATATTCTGATTTACAATATAATTTAATAATATTTGTTGTATTGTTATTATTTTATCATTACAAATATTACATCATTTTAATTATCATTTCATATAATTAATGACATGCTATTTCATACAAATACACAATTCTCTTCAATTATTTGTTTATATTATTGTTATTTATTCTTATTTTTGATATATTAACATAAACAAAGAAATATAAAATAATATAAATAAAATAAAAAATAAATAAAAAAGAATAAAATAAATATTTTATTATATTTATTTATCTTTTATTCTTATTTCTTTTTATTATTTATTAAATTAACATAATGAATATGAATATTTCAAATAAAATAAAACAAGAATAAAATATGAACATTTTTTATATTCATCATTTCATTTATTGATTTTATTTTATATTCTTTTTTAGTTTTTATATTTCAAATAAATAATAATGAATAAAAATCATTTCATTTCAATTACAACGATTCGTTGTGGTGTGAAATTATCTGGAAATTGTTTTCCACAAAGTGCATTTGATATTCCTTTATATTCATATGAATGATGTTTACAAAATGATTTTGTTTTATAATTTTCTTTCCAAACAAGAATATCACTTCTATATCCAAATCCAAACAAATCATAACTTGATTGGTTAAATAAATAAAATGCATGTTGTGGATCTTTAATATCAAATTTCATCATTCCTTCTATTCTTCCTTTTGTTTCTAATGAAAATAAAAATGATTTTGGATCATTTATATAACAACCAACTTCATTAATTTTCTCATTAACATATCCTCCAAATTTATTTCCATTTGTATCTTCAATAATAATTATTATATGTTCTTTCTTCATAACTCTTTTATCAAATACTGATGTATCCTTATTCCAATCATCAACGTCTGAATCAAATAATATATTTCCTATTTTTCTATTAGTCCATTCTTCTATTTGTTGAATTTCTTCTATTGTTTTCCTTTCTTTTTCTTCTTCTTCTTCTTTTTTCTTCTTCCTCTCAAAATAATCACTATAATGGGTGTTCCATTCTTCTTTATTCTTAATAAATCTTATTTTAATATTGTTAATTTCTTCTTCTAATTTTTTAATTTTATCTTCCATACTCATTTCTTCCATGTGAATGATTTTATCTATTAGTTCATTCTTAGCTTTATTAACTGACTCTTCATCATCATTACATTCTTCTATTATTTTGTTCATTTTATTTTTAATTATTTCTATTTTATTTATTGTTTCTTGTCCTTTTTCTATTACTATTCTTCTTCTTCTAACTACTTCATCAATTCTATCAAATACCCCTTCTCCTCTTTTAATTGCTTGTTCATATGTTTCATTATCTTGTTTCTCAAATATTTCATTTTTAATACTTCCTAAATAATATTGATATTGTTTAGTAGTATCATCAATTGATTGATAAATATTTGGAAGTGTTTCTACTACTTCTTTAATTAAATGATTATTCATCACTGATTCCATTTTAATTTAATGAATATCAGATCAAAATAATAAGATTAAATAATCAAATACACGTTTATAACAAATCATTTTATTTATTATTTTAATAAGCGTCATTTCATTTTTATTGTTTTAAATAACAATAATAAAATTAACAAAATAGAATATAATAAAAAATAATAAATAATAAAACATCTCATCATAATTAATGATAATATCACATAATAATGATAGAAATGAAAATGAAATATAAATGAAAACACAAAGAACAATCTAATTTAATCTATGAAAGTGATAAATAAATATACAACAATAATGATAACATTAACATTGAATTTGGGTATGAAAAAAACTATAAAAATGAAAAACAGATAAATAAAGGATAAGAAGAAATGAATAGAAACAAAAAAGACACAACAAACAAAGAACAAGAAATAAAAACAAAACAAGGAAATAGAATAACAAATGAAATGACTTTTAATTAGTTGGTTAAGTATAATAGAAAATATTTGAAGAAAATAAAACAAGCAATGATAAGAATAATAATTACCTGTAGTAGTAATTTTAATAAATGTAATAATAAATACAGAAAATATTAAATTAATAAAAACTGAAAAATAAAATCATCAAAGAAGTCAAGAACACTATAATTAAAAATATAGTTGGTGTCATAAAAAAATTGTTTCTATCCAAGTAAAACATATTTTGTAGAGTTAATAAACAAATGAGAAAAAGTAAAGATTAATCACCGCCCAGAAAGATAAATAATATAAACCAATTCTATTACCACTTAATTATTTATGTATTTTGTGAATGAATTAAAGAAAATATTTACAAGAAATATTTTTAAGATTTTAGTTTTAAAATTAAGAAATAAAGAATTTTTAATAATTTTCAAATTTAATATAAAAGAATTAAGTAAAAAATAGATAATTAAGTATTATAGAAATATTTTCTATTTTTCATTGATCAGTGGAGATTAACTAATCCATTTGCTTTAAAAGTATTTGTTCATCAAATATTAACTTAATCTTTGATTTTAGTTGTTGAACTGAGACAATTTCATTTTTTCGTTTTTAATGCGAAATAGAGTATTTAAACATCCCTTATTTAAATATTCATTATTTAATTTCTTTTTGATTTTAATGAGTTTAAAATTCTTCTTTATTTTCTTATTTTAAGGAGAGTATATAATTACCACTGTATTGCTTTGGGCTAATATTCTTTTTAGAATCAACCACTTACCCTTTTCTTTTGATAATCTTTCTTATATTATCAATTATACTTGTATTCTAACAAGTAATAATAACATCTTTATAAATACCCATTCGTTTATTGTCAATGATATTCTGTCATTGTACATAATAAACACTGCTATTCTTGCAGTACCGGGTAAGATGTTTTTCTAACCAAACGCAACGTCATAACCAGTCCATAACTTGTGGGAATCGAAGGATGGAAATATTTTAGAGTTCTTGCTACCTTTGAATCTTTAATATAAAAAAATTAAAAAAATAAAGAAAAATAATTGAAGATAAATTTCTTACCTGAATTTTTATTTCAACAAAAATAAAAAAGTAAAAAAAAAGAACCATCTATTTAAACTAAAAAGTAAAAAACAATCATGTCGTTTGGTATTGATTTTTAAATTTTATTTATTTTACCTCAAATTATCTTATCACTTTTAGTGATCAACGTATTCAAAATATTAACAGAGACCTTGATGAAACACAACAAATTATGCAAAATAATATTGATAACATGACTCGTAATGTCGCCAACGCAGAAGAACTTCAACAACAAACTGCTGTAATGAATGAAAATGCTGCTGCCTTTAAAAAATCATCAACTAATATGAAAAATGCAATGTGGTGGAAGAACTTTAAATTGTGGTTAATTATTGGAACTGTCATAGCAATAATAATTCTTGTTATTATAATTATTATCGTCATTATAGCTGTAAAAGTTAGCAAAAATAAAGATGATTAATAATAACGTTTACTATTATGATAATTAAATGAATTATTCCTTTTTATTATTAATATACCTCTCTTTAAATATAATATTTAAATATTCTTTTATAGTGTTTATTGCCAATAAACAATGTAGAAACATTCTACTTTAAATCTATCATTTTTGTCTATATTAATTTTATTAGTATTAGTATAGTATTCATTTATTTTTGTAGAAAAATATCCTTCTCCATTCTTTTTAATACAAAAAGCTTTTTCTACTTTAATAAGATCTTCAGACCTTTCTTTGAAAAGTTCAAGTGTTTCTGTTTCTCTTTTCATTTTCCATAAGACTAATTTGTGAATTTCATAATTATATGTAAATATAAAATGGTTATCATCAATTCCAATTCCTGTTTCTACATCTCCTGGTTTAGTAAATTCAGACGGAATAATTAATTTATTGAAACAACCAAAAATATGTTGATCAATTGTTCTAAAAATGAACATAACATTTGAACGCCCTTTTACACTTTGAACAAAAAAAGAAGAAAATCGTAAACGTTCCATTGTTATAGTTTCTATATGATTAATAGCATTTAATTTTGTCCATTGACATAAGTCATCAAAATAACAATCCAATCTTAATTTTTCAAATTTTTGTTTATAAAGACATTTCCAAATTGAAGGAATAGAAGAAATCAAATGGTGAACTTCTTTTTCTTTAGAACTAGAACTTACAACATATTTTTCAAATGAACCTTTTAAAGAATTTAATTGAG